CAATTGCTTTAGCATCTCTATGCTGCAGAGCAAGTTTCAATGTCTCTCTGACATCCATTTTGACCTTTCCCTTGTTACTTCATAAACTGTATTTGAATTTAAGTGCTATCTGAAAGGTTGGTGGTTTGAATCCATCTGCTGGCCCCATGGAGGAAAGGCCTGGCAATCTCCTTTTGAAGAAGCTGTCCCGGAAACCCTGCGCAGCTCCTCGGACCCAAACGGAGTTGCCATAAGTCAGAATCAACTAGACAGTAGGGGTTTTAGGTTGTTTTTTTTTGTTGTTTGTTTATTGCTGCTAAATATCACATTTCAAGTTTTAGAATATGAAATTTCTCAATTTCAAATGAGCTCTAAACTCATAACTAACAAATGATTCTGTCATTCCTTGCTTACTTTTCAGTCTTTTCCCTCTTTCCTGTATGAATGTGCATAGAGAAGGTGCATAGTTATTATTTGTTAGGCTTGTTGTGGCAAGAGAAGGGCTAGGTTTTCCTTAACCAATATTCTAAAAATATGTAAAATTTCAAATTGAAAAAGGACTCAACAATTATATCAAAGCATTCAAATTAATTAAGCATTTACTCCTAAGATTTGGAAATGACAGCATCCGAATGTCTAACTTTTATTTTTTCCTTTTCTCTAGATAAAAGAACGTTACTTGTTTGGTTAATTGCAGTACTCTAAACAAGTATTTTTTTTCTCATCTCTCAAGCATGGGTGGTAAAATACCACCTGCTACTCAGAAAGCAAAATCAGAAGAGAGTACCAAGGTATGTTATACAGTTGATTGTGGCTTACGTTTAACTGCTGCTCTGCAATTGTTGTTGTTCGTGCCTTGAGTCACTTGAACGACCGACCTTATTGTTCAAACTGACCTTGAGGTCCATTTTCTCCACGTTCTCTTGAAAATAAGCTCTACATAAAATTTGTTTCCAGACCTAAAATTTCATTTAAACATAATTTGTTATTGAATATTAGCTATGGTTTAAAATAAAAATTGTGTGTCTTCCTGGCCTGTAAAAGCTAAGCTCTGCAAAGCTTGTGCATCTGTATGCTTCACCATTGTGCCTTCAGAACCTAGCAGTGTCTTATCATAGGTACCTTCCTCATATTTGCTATGTAAAATAACAAGTAGCCCAAATCCCCAATTCTCTTGTTTTTTCTGAGCATTTTCACCAAAAGGGTATGGACGATCAAGAAGGGGTTGCCAGTAGCTGAAATGTAGAAATGAGAGTGCAGTGTTCTCTCCAGAATAGTTGTTGTTAGTAAGTGCTGTTGAGTCGGTTCTGACCCATAGCGACCCTGAACAGGGTTTCCAAGGCTGTAAATTTTGATGGGAGCAGAAAGCCTCATTTTTCTCCCGTAGAGCAGCTGGTAGTTTCGAACAGCTGATCTTGAAGTTCGCAGCCTGATTCGTAACCACTATGCTACCAATACACCCTTGGAAATTCTCAGATCTCACTTTTTACCTGCATGTCTAAACTATTTTCACCAAGTTTTCAATTACTGTTCTTACATTAAGAGGGAATTTTGTTGTTTAGTATAAACAAAAGCCCAACAAGTTGTTATCGTCTTAGGAGCCGTAGATAGACTGTAGTAAACTGCTATGAAAACACAGTTATATATCACGTGTATAATCTCTGCTAAAACTTTTTGCAGTAACATTTCTGTTGAGACTTAATGATTGGTGTTATTCTCCGCATATGCTGAACCCCATCTGGCACTTTGCACATAGTAGAGATTCACAAAGGTAGCACTCTGCTTCCAATTTAAAAAACAAAACAAAAGGGGAAGCTATCTACATTAACTGGTTAAGTAACTTCTGATACACATACACAGTTGAATGAATGTAGGTAGGCTGATAATGGTGTATTAGCAAGGTAGAAGTGCTGTCAAATAGATTTCAACTCATATTGACCTTGTCTAAGGTTTCCAAAGAGCAGCTGGTGGGTATTATTACTTAAGCAGTAACAGTTATGTGGGGTATTATTACTTAAGCAGTACCAGTTATGTGAGGTATTTATTAAGTGGAAAAGTTGTTGTCTTTTATACAGACTGAATATCTAGAATAAGAGACAAGAAACCACACTGGTTACTTATAGGATGGGAAGGAAATTTGCTTTCCATCATGTGTGATTTAAAAAAAAAAATTATTTTTTTTCGAATTTTCATCACTTGTGTAAAATACAAGTAATTTATTTGCCATTCAGAAACTGTTTTAAGAATGTAAACATTTATAGTAGACATATTCAGCAGCAAAACAGCCTGAACTGACATGAGACTATTAATAGTCTGTGTTTATCCCACTGAATATGAATGCTCAAACTTTATTTTGCAGAAATATCTGTTGTGAGTGTGGAGAGTTGTGAGTTTCAAAGCCTGTTGTGAGTGTGGAGAGTTGTGAGGTTTTTGTATATCTATTTATATTAGCTTCCTAAAATCCAACTTTCTTGAATTCCAAAGACATAGTTTGAAAAGATTGGAATAATAAAGTGGGCCTGTACTTCATTTTTAAAAAAGAACCAAAAACTAAAAGAAGTTTTCCAAAACAATTAACAAGTAAAAGTAATGTTTGTAAACACTTTATACATAAATTTGTTTTACTTGTTTTTTTGTTGTTAAGTGCTATCAAGTTGGTTGTGACTCATAGTGACCCTGCATAGAGTTTCCAAGGAGAGACTTGTAAGTTTGAACCGCCAACATTGCGGTTCAAAGCAACCTTGGGGTCTAGTGCTGTCTCCCACAGTGCCACACCAGGACTTCTCAGTTACATATAGTGGATATGTTATTCAATACTGATAACATTGTTTGCTCTTCTTTTGCTAGGAAGAAAAAACAGATAATAAGATGCCAGAAGAAAGCGTAAAGACAGATGAACCCTCAAGTGAAGAAAGTGATCTAGGTGAGAAGATGGTGTGTATGTGAGAGAGAGTTTTATGATCTGAGTCTATATGGGTTTCTTTTTTGTTTTTTTTACATCATTCGTTATATCATCTCTAAGAAAAGACGATATGAGCTATACATGAAATCTAAATTTTCTCATAGCCACGTTAAAATTCATTAAATATTTTTCTTCTGTTTGAGATCCAAGTATATTTTACGCAGATGAGGGGGCTTTTTTTTTTTTTTTTTAAAGTTTGTGGGAAAATGTCATTATCTTTTAATTCTATTTCTCTACAAACTTTGTGAAGCCCCGTCTTACAAGACCAGTTGCCATTGAATCAGTTGCGACTCATGCCAAACCCATGTGTGTCAGAGTAGAGGCTTACTTCATTACTTCACAGAGTTTCAGTGGTGGATTTTCTGGATATAGATTGCCCAGCCTTTCTTCAGAGGGGCCTCTGGTTAGATTCGAACCTCTAACCCTACGGTTAGCAACTGTCTTATGAGAAGTTTCAATCTCCGCATAAATTCTTATACCTGTTTATTTTTAAAAGTTTGCAATAAAATGACTTTAATTCAAGCTTCAAGTTTAGCTTAGTTGTATAGACAATGTGATATTGATGAGAAAATACAAATCATTCTATAGTCTTTTATCCTTTATTATTATGAGACACAATTTTTCCCTTTAAGAACATCTTGGAATTAATCATAAAGTAAAAGCTTTGTTCAACTTTTCCAGTACTCAGTCAGAAGAAACACAAGATAATTCTCTTAATTTCTTTGGGCACTTCCTAAATTGACAGTGATTTGTAGCATTTGAATGGTTGTAAGCAGTTAGATCTATGACACCTTTATATTAGTTTTCCTCAGAAAACTGATGATATGCTTTTCAGTATGTATAAAAATTAGTATAGTGAAACATAACAATAAGGGAAATGTAAGTCTTGTAATTTAAATTTTTATAAATACAAATTTTTGGTCTGACAAAACTGGAATGGTAGAAAGTTCCTTTTTCATAATCAGCTGAAATTCTTTGACATATAAGAATTGAAAAATATCTATGCCATGAAGTTTTGTTTTGTTTTATTATTAACACCAAAAATTAATAAAAATTCTTTATAAATTTTAAAATCCTTTTAAACCTTAGTATTAACTGGTTAATCTCAAATATTACACAACTAATAAGGAGCTCTGGTAGCGTAGTGGTTACGAATCTGGCTGCGAACCTTAAGGTCAGCGGTTCGAAACTACCAGCCGCTCCGTGGGAGAAAGATGAGGCTTTCTACTCCCGTAAAGATTTACACCCTCGGAAACCCTGTACAGGGTCGCTATGGGTCAGAACCGACTCGACGGCACTTAACAACAACAATGTAAAAAAATAAAGATAACTTATTATTTGAAATTGTTAGAAATGTCTTGCATTTTACAGACAGTTATTTGGGAACTTAATTAAAAATATTTCACTTTGTTAAAGTACCTACAGTTTCCATAACATAATCGCTTTTGCCAACTATCCAAGTTTTAAGTTGTTTTTTTTTTGTTTGTTTTTGTTTTTTAATTTAAGGTTTTTATTGTGGATTGAGTGAAAGTTTACAGGGCACATCATCAGTTTCACATTCAACAATTCATATAACTTGTTTCATTACATTGATTATAATCCCCTCCATAGACCATCAGTTAAAAGTATTTCTCTTTATTAAATTTTTTTTAATGTGCACAAAACAAGCTGTGTCACTGGTCGACAAAGTTACAAGTTCAGTTGCTTTTAAATTTTTGGTTGGATGTTTTTAATTCTAACTTTTGGTTTAAATTTGTTTTAAATTCTTGGTTGGATGTTTTTAATTCTAATTTTTGGTGGTTGGTTTTAACTTAGATTATTTTAATATTTGTGGGGTCTTTTGGGGGTTTGCTCTGCTGTAGCAAATTCCCATTGCTATTCATCATGAAATTTGCAACTTTTCTCTTTCCAAAAATGTTGGTCTTTACTATTGTGTTTTTAGTATTAATTAGCTTTGGAACTTGAGTCTATATCCACAGTTTTTCTTTACATTAAATTGTAAAATTTTGTCTATAATATTTTTAAAGCAAACTAATATCTCGCTATGATTTAACATCATATCACTCATGTTTTGCTAGCCACATGAAATATTTCTTTAAAAAATTGATGTACAGAAAAAAATTATTTTGAGTTAGATCAATTTGATGACTGGACTCAATTAGTACTACATGTTAAGTGTAAAACTGGGAACCATGTATCTGCTAACATTCACACTATAATACAGTATGAGAGAGGAATGGCCCTATAGGATAAGCATCGGACTGCTAACTGCAAGGTCAACAGTTCAAATCCACCAGCTACTTCTGAGAAACTCTATACAGGGTCTCTATGTGTTGAAATAGGTTCAGTGGCACTTAACAACAGTATCTTACGTGAGCAGATAAAGTACATTTAATCTTAGAAAATAAAGTTGTATTTAGTGGGGAAAGTTTTAAATGTATCATCAGTATTTAAATTCATTTAAAATAACAAATTCATTTCATCAATTTGCACTGACACGTTTAAATCATTAATAGCCTTATGTGGCTAGTGGCTACTGTAGTGGATCTCACAAGTCTTAATGTCATTTTTTTTTCATATTTGGCAGAAATTGACAATGAAGGTGTGATTGACCCAGACACAGATGCCCCTCAAGAAATGGGAGATGAAACTGTAGAGGTAAGTTCAATGGCATGTTCTGCATTACTTTTGCAGTAATTTTATGAAATGATGCTTTCTAATCAAAGCACCTATTAAGTTGTTATTCTCTAATTCCAGCATATAGGAAAGGATTTTATTTTACTTCTTAAAATGCTTATGGAAATTCCCATGTTAACTTTAACTACACCAACAATTTCTGAAATATTTTTATGTTCTATTTTCCCTGCCCTTTCAGTTTGCATCTGGTTTCACTGCTCCTTAGAGTTTACCTAAGGTATGTGCCTACCAGGGAAACTATCTGTTTATAGGATACCTACTGTCAAGTTGTTATCAGAAATAAAACTGTCACAACAGGGATGATATTGCCCATTACAGTGCCAAAATTACTGTCTATGAAAAAACAACCACTGCCATTTAGTCTATTCAGACTCACAGAGACTACACACAGGGTTTCCAAGACTAAGTTTTTACAGCCACAGACAACCTTATCTCTCTCCTGGTGAGTGGCTGATGGGTTTGAACCACCAACCCTATAATTAGCAGCCCAGGGCCTAACTCACAGCACTACCAGGGCCCCTTATAAAGAATCCTTAGTCTTGTTAACACAGGTTGGATTTAAACAAACCTTACAGTCCACTGCAGCACCACACTAGCACTCTAGAAAGATTCCTTAGGGGAATTGATCATGGAAAAGATTGAACAGTTTAAAAGTGACTTTTGTCTGTCTTCTCACCAACAGTTCATACTGTTGGTATTCATTTTTACAGATGTTACTGCAAAAAATAGTACATTCTTGAGATTTTTAATTTTTAGTTTTAAGAGTTTCAATAAAATTGAGCAATTTTAAGTTTGTCAGTAATACGTAGATATTTGTGAAGTCCATTTCTCATCTTTTAGCCATTTTCCTACTTGATTTTTTTCTTACTGCTTTATAGTCATTTTTTATTCTGGATGCCAACATTCTCTTGTCTGTAAATACTCCACCACTGGTCTGTCAGTTTGTGGTACTGTAGTGGCTTGCGTGTTGCTGTGATTCTAGAAGCTATGCCACTGGTATGTTAAATAACCAGTAGGTTCACCCATGGTGGACAGGTACCGACATGAACTTACCTAATAGTAGGTATTTTCAGGAACCAAGAAATGAAACCATTTGAGGATTCAAGTCTATAAAGTAGTTTGAACCCATAGTGAGGAGGTTGGGATTTTTTTATATTTGGGCAGAACATCCTACTTTGATTGGGATTGTGGGAAGCAAATGTCATGTCTAGAGCAATGTTGGGAGCCTTTTTTTTTTTAATGTGTTACAGTTCGTTGTGTGTAATGTCTTTAATTAATCAACTATTATAATGTTTATCTTTGCTCCCTGGAGACTAGAGAAGAATTGAATGAAAATAGGATTGTGACAACCACATCCTTGAGAAGGCCCAAACTGCTTCCTTCTTTTTGTTTTCTCTCCTAAGTTGATTTCTATTTCCAACTAGATAACTGAAGAGATGATGGATCAGGCAAATGACAAGAAAGTGGCTGCCATTGATGCCCTCAGTGATGGTGAGTTTTATGTCTTTTCCATATTATTGTAGTGCTTGGAATAGTCTCCTTTCTGCTTCAGTGACAAAAAATGCTGCAGGAAAAGTGGAAGGGAACATACTGAATATTAGCATATTCTCCACCCACCCCTTCTTCATTGATTAAGAGGTTACAGCTACTTTGCTTCAGGTCTTGGGCAGGTCTTGATCTGTCTGATGCAAAGCCTTTGGTTTCCTGGTTGTCATGGTGTTTCTCCTCTGCTCTTAAGAGAAGCCTGAAAAAGTTGAAAGGCTCTCAGAGAGTAGTATGAGGACAGTGGTGCTCAACTTTGCATAGTAACACCCTTGTTCATAGTTTATCACTTGCTTTAGTCTGCTCCCACCAATGCAAGGAGACTAATACTACTAAGTATAACGTTGTTGCTGTACGCCATTGAGTCACTTCCAGCTCAGAGACCCACTGTGAACAGAGTACACCTGTCCCATAGGATTTCTTAGGCGCGGTATTTACAGGATCAGGTTCCTAGGCTGCTTCTCCCACAGCGCGACTGTTGGGTTCAAATAGCTGGCCTTTCAGTTAGTGGAGCAAGGCGCCTTCGTGTATAATGTTAGGTGGTGGTGGTGGTGGGTGCTCTCAAGTCGGTTCCCACTCAAAACAGTACTGTATAGGGTTGTCATGAGTGGCTGGTGGGTTTGAACTGCCGACCTTGTGGTTGCCACAGTCTGGTGTTTATCCTACAGCACCACACCAGGGATCAATGTAACGATTACTGTTAAGTTCTGTCCAGTCAGTTCTGACTCATAATGACCCTGTATAGGGTTTCTGAGGAGAGGCTGGTAAGTTTGAACCGCCAGCCTTGCTATTCAAACCAGCCTCTGTCTATCTTCAGAGGAGATAGTGACCAGGAGCAGTCTACGGCTGATCCTTATGGAATGGAGGTCAGACATAACCTTCACTCTTCAACCTTTTTAACAGTTCTGACAGCAGCCTTTCCCCCCTTTGTCACTCTCTACTTCTCTGCTGGGTAAAATAATCTACAGTGTAGTAATGGTGGTGTGCTGTGGAGTCAGTTCTAACTCACAGCGACCCTGTATAGGGATTCCCAGGCTGTAAATCTTTACAGGAACAAAAAGCCTCATCTTTCTCCCACAGAACAGCTGGTAGTTTCAAACTGCTGATCTTGAGATTAGCAATCCAACTTGTAACCACTATGCTACCAAAGCTCTTCAGTATAGACCATACTCACAGTTACATACAACTCAGGATCAAGATCAATAGGCGTGTAGGCAAAAGCTCCCTTCCTCAGTGCAGGACTGCTGTCTCAGCACGTCTCAGCCATGCAGGGCTCCTCTTGGCCCTGCCATTGGTCACTGCTGACTCTCACTGCGCCCCTCCCAGGCTTCTCATCTTCAGTGCTATAGCTCTTTTTGGAGGTTCCTTACCCTTTCCCTTCCTCTGTCCCTCCATTTCTCTTTCATTCTCAGCTGCTGCAGCTTCCTTTAGCTGCTTCCTGCTGCTTCTCTTCTTTCTGTCTGCCTAACCTTTGTGGGGTTGGCTGCATATACAAGATCTGTATATGGGAAAATTCTGTGTGGAAACTGTTGACTACAGATTAGTAAGAACATGTATGCTCAGGCTTACTTTGTTTGCTTAGGTGCTCTGTCCCTGTCAGGGATTGTACAGTTGAAAACAGGCTATGAACCTGTTAGAAGATGCTGTGGGATTGGGAGAGAGATGTCAGCTCATAACTAGAAGTGGAATCTTTGAAATGGTTTTATTTGTTTTTTTAAGTGAAATTGTTCGTTACAGATTTGTATGTAAGCACACATAAGCCGTGTTTACTGTGCTTACTGATTGATACATGTTAAAGGATTAACTCCATTGAAAGGTACAAGGCTAATGAAAATGCATTTCAGTTTGCTTCTGTAATGTTTTTTTGTCATTGAGAAGTGTAGAATGAAGTTTTTAATCATGATTTCTTACAAAAACCAGGAAATGATGAGTGTATATTGGGTATGGAAAGGTTGCTAATAACCTGGCTGAGGATAAAACATAAAATCAAATCCCTCTGTACATGATGATTCACTGCTAAACACAAAGCTTGTGTGAGATGCTTTTTTTTAAAAAAAAAAAAAAAAAGCCAGACTACAGTAACAATATGATGTTCACACAACATGTAAATCACACAGTGCCCCTTTCATAGAACATAACATTGAGCCAACTGACCAAACGTCTGATTGCAAGGAGATCTTTAAGAAGAAACTAATAGATTACTTACAACTATCTCAGAGTTACTTAGTCACAGATCTGAAACTCAGCTGTTAAATTCCGCAAAACTCTGGGCTACAGAAGACAGAAGTGAAGTTGGGAAGTTCTTGAGGGATGTACATTATAAGTAAAGGTTTGTTTTGCAAAGCCAGTTTTATATACAGAGACTCCACAAGTTATGAACTTTTGACTTTATAGGGGACAACTCCTGTACTTGCCCTTAATGCTACATAAATGTGCCCTCACTTTGAAACAATTGAGCCAACCCCTACTGTAACAAACTCTTCATCACAATCACCTACTTGTAGCATATGCAACATATAAATCATGGGAAAGGTTAGGAGCTTCCCAGCCAACTGCCGTGGTGTCACCTTCAACAGGAGCCATCCTGCTGGACAGAGTGGGCCTGCCCCATAGGGTTTCCAGGGCTGTGATCGTTACAGAAGCAGATTGCCTCATCCTTCTCCCACAGAACAGCTGTTAGGTTCCAGCTGCCAGCTGTCAGTGCCAAGTGCTTTAATATTGCACCACGAGGACTCCTCTTTCACTACACTCACTACTGTTGAGTCAATTCCAACTCATAGCAGTCCCATGGAGGCTTCCTGAGACTGTACATCTGTAGGACAGCACACAGCTTCATCTTTCTCCCTTTGATTGATCCCACCTGCAGTTAGCAGCCCACTGCATAACCCATAGGGCCCCAGGACACTTCTTTGCACTAAACTAAGATTATAGCCCTTGTTCTATTTACATCCAAATTCTTAAAGACACCAGTAAGGACGATTCTTGTTCATAACTCCAGAGCCTGTATTAACTTAGACACTATAGTCTTTTAAGTAGGCTAAAAGAAAAACATGAAACCTAATTGCATTTCTTATTAATATTTTTTAGCCTCTGAATGTTTTTCTATAATTTCTATTTCATTTTAGGTGAACTACAGAAAGCCATCGACTTGTTCACGGATGCCATCAAATTGAATCCTCGATTGGCCATTCTGTATGCCAAGAGAGCCAGGTGAGAACTCTAAACCAAAAAGCATCCCCTGGTGAATAATTTACTCATTTAATTAGAATTATTGATGTGGTGGAGGTCCCAAAGGTTTTATTGTTTGAAATGAATACTTTTTAATATTACACTTATTTTTTAGTGTCTTCATCAAATTACAGAAGCCAAATGCTGCCATCCGAGACTGTGACCGAGCCATTGAAATTAATCCTGATTCAGCCCAGCCCTACAAGTGGCGAGGCAAAGCACACAGGTAAGTAAATGGAGTTTAATTATGTTTAGAACTCTTTCAAGTTTTAGTTTAGTGTTTTATTATGTTTTGTTTTCAGAAGTACTGTCTGGGTGTTGCAAGTAACATGTACTTTGTATAAGTTTTTTTCTCCTTCCAGTCAAAGAAAAATATTGCTAATAACCATTTTTGATCATGTAAAACCAAGTGTAAGAGTTTTTCTCAAATGTCCTTACAAATTTTCTTACTTTTTCTTTTGTAACTTAATATTGAACAACCAATGTATTAATTACATAAGGAATATGCTAGCCTGAAACTACTGTAGTCTCTCCTAGGTTACCTAAAAAGTCAAAAGGGAGAATTAAAGAAACAAATGTTATCATTCTGGGCTGCAGTGGGAGTCCTTGTGGCCCAGAGATGAATTGTCGTGAGAGCCCGTCGCATGAACAGGTGTATTAGATGACTCAGAGCATCTCTTGTGGTTATGAAGACACATATCAAGATATAGAAAAGTTTTTAAATAAAATGTTAGTGAATCTGGACATAGGAAAAGTTCACACAGGTTACTGTTGATCCCTTTATTGTTGTTAAGTGCTGTCCAGCCGGTTTAGGTTCATAGTGATACCACATAGGGTTAACAAAGAGTGGCTGGTGTAATTCAAAAGTGCTTTCTACCACATCACCCACCATTCATCTTTGAACATTTCTTTGTCTTTGTATAAAACAGCATAAGCTCAGCTTGTACTGTGCTTGTCCTGACTTGGAATTAGCCATTTGACTTTGTTTCTTTGTCATTGAGAAATGTAGGAGGAAAAGGTTTTAATTACGATTTCTTTAAAAAACCAGGAAATGATGAGTTTATACTGATATTTCCCATTAAATTTTAAATTAGTTTTCCCTATTTTTTTTTTTTTTTTACATTTTTCTCCTTGTCTTTGTCCCTAATATGTTTACTTACTTGTGTTACTCTACAATATACATAAAATCATTTTAGAATTATAATTTTCATGAAAAATTTACATAAGCTAAGTTTAAAGTTGGGGTTTGTTTTGTTTTGTGTTGGCACTTTTTATCCTTAGAATGTTATCCATGTGATACTCAATTAGGCTCTTTGATTTTCTGATTGTTTCAGCATTGATGGTGGTAGTATGCGATGGAATCCGTTCCAACTGTAGGGTTTCCAAGGCTATAAATCTCTACAGGATCATCTGTGTCCTGTGGGACAGCTGGTAGTTTCAAACTGCTAACATTAAGGTTAGCAGCCTAACTCGTAACCACTATACTACCAGAGTGGACTCATAGTGACCCTGTATAGGGTTTCTAAGGAGCAGCTGGTGAACTTGAACCATCGACCTTGCCATTCAAACCTACTTTGCAGACCAGCGCATTAAACCCACAGTGCCACGCCAGGACACGTTGTTGTTGTTGTTAAGTGCGGTCAAATCGGTTCTTTCTGACTTATGTTTTTGAGTATGTGAAACATTTACATGTTTCAAGAGTTAAAACTGTGTCAGATATATCCAGATAGTCTTCCTTCCATTTGCTGTCCTCAACCTCTTCCCCCTCCAACCATTATTTTCAGAGTTAGCCTTCTTGCTGCTTTTTTTTTTTTTTCCCAACAAAGTGTCCATTGTGTTTCCCCTTCTAGCTTATATTGAAGGTAGCATGCTATCCTACTTTTCATGAGTTAGCTTTTACGGGAAAAGAAAATTAAGCTTTTATTTTAATAAAACTCCTTTAGGGAAGAGATCATGTGTCACCTAAGTTCCTAAAACAAGTTTAAATCTGTTTCAGACTTCTGGGCCATTGGGAAGAAGCAGCACATGACCTTGCTCTTGCTTGTAAACTGGACTATGATGAAGATGCTAGTGCAATGCTGAAAGAGGTTCAACCAAGGGTATGTTCAAGTAGAGAAAGGAAAGCTCACCAACTGGGCACTCTAGTATTTAGATTCCTCAAAAGCACAGGAGAAGAAACGAACCACTGGGAATTTAAATCTGCAATCACTGAAGCTTTGTGCTCAACTCAGGATGTCTATTGGGCTTTCATACTTTCACTTCTCATGCTGTTTTATAGCAAACTTTGTTACTGTGTTGAATTATAACCAGAAAATTAGGGGTGGTAAACGGAGCATCAGACATACAGCACGAAATAAAAAATCTCTAAAAACAAAATGATCCAGAAATTAGTCTGGTCAAACGTGAAGACTTTGTGAAAGTTAATACATTTCAACCTTTTTTTCCCCCCTAAATGATTATATTGAATCTGGTAGCTAGAGTATCCTGTCTTAAGATAATTTCTATCTAAAATATAAAGTGTAACTAATTTAGTTCATTTAAATGGTGTATCTTTCAGCTTTTTGGTAAGTTGAACTATCCAGAATTTACTCCCAAAGGATTTAAGATAGTGGAGAGTCTGCTGAATTTATCTACCACCAGATTTTTTTGTTTTTCTTCTAACATACTAACTGAGCCAGATAGTTACATGAGGTATTATTCTTGAGCACGGGGGTCTTAACAAAATAATCATTAACCTTTAAATCTTCATTTTCTTTTCTGAATAAATAATACGTTCTAAGTATTAGGTACTGATCATTGTACTAGTGCCTGGTACACTTACTTATATACATTTTATCTTAATCCCTATAGCGATTCTTTGAGATTGGTTTCCACCCCCACTACCCTAAGGGTTAAGGAAACACATAGACTGTAACAAATAACCTGGTGTGTGTGACCCCATATCTGCTTTCCCATGACAGACAGACATCATTGATGGGATACTTTCCTGCAAAACTAAGCTCTAATTTCTGAAGCTCTAGCACTATGGCTTGTAGAAACTACCAGACAAGGATTGTGCAATTTGGAAATATTTATCATCCTCGAGCTACTTGTTAGAGATGTATTACAGTTACCTAACTTCCGATCCCAGACTCGTCCTCTATTTCACAGTGCCCCATGCAACTGTGATTGGTTTTATTAAAGCTTGAGTGATAGAAGGCCCTTTTCTGTAAGCTAAATCTTATTATTCAAAACTCTGTTGGCTTTGTTCAGCCTAACACATTTTCTTCCCTAGGCCCAGAAAATTGCAGAACATCGGAGAAAGTATGAGCGAAAACGTGAAGAGCGAGAGATCAAAGAAAAGATAGAAAGGGTTAAGAAGGCTCGGGAAGAACATGAAAGAGCCCAGAGGGTAAAGTTTCTGTAGTTAATCCGGGAAGGGAAAAATACAGTCTGTTAAGAGTTCTTTGGATGCCATTCCAATTCCTGGCTCCTATATTTAATGCTGGTGTGGCGCTGAGGGCTATGCGTCAGACTATAAAGTTGTTTGAACTACAAGGTTGGTGGTTCAAGCTCACCAGCTGCTCCTTGGAAACCCTATACAGGATCGCTATGGGTCGGAATCAACTTAACAGCGCTTAACAACAACAGTATTTCTGTGGGATAATTTATAAACCTATTGCTGTCGAGTCGATTCTCACTAGTTGTGACCTTGTAGGACAGCCTTGAACTTCACTATAGTTTCAGAGGCTATAAATTTTTTTTTTTTTTTAAGTTTTTATTATAAATTATGTAATAGTTTACATTGGAGGGCATTATCTTTACATTCATCCTCTCGTATTTAGTTTCATTGCAATGATTACAATCCCCTGCCCCCTGGCCGCCAGCACACAGGCCCTCTCCCTCACTGAATCTAGAGTCCCCAGCTGCTCCATTTCACCATGTCATTGTCTCTGCCTTCAGCCCTGGCATCACTGCTTCTCTGAATAGGGTCCCGCACTTCGCTTTTCTCCCTTGATGGTCTCCAGGTACCTCCGTTCCTGGACTGCAAAGTCAACCACTCCCCTTCTTTTCTTACAAAATGTCTACCTTTATCTTTCCAGCACTGACAGTCCTGATAGCAATCATCCCCTATTAAACCACAAGTCTTATCCCCATCACCTTTCATTAGCCCCGTCCAGACAGGTTGGACACCTCTGGAACTAGGTTCCCTATTGAAAGCTTGTAAACCAGTCACTTCTTGCCTTTGTAGCCCCCCCATTTTGGGTGGCCAATGTCTTAAGTTACCCATCCTTGTCAACCCTGTGTACCAAGGGGGTGGGAATGATCCAGAGGCTATAAATCTTTATGAAAGCAGACTGCCATCTTTTTTCTTCGGAGAGGCTGTTGGACTCGAACCACAAACCTTTTGGTTAACAACTGAGTACTTAACCATTGCTCCAACAGGACTTTTTCCTATGGGGTAATGCTGCTACTTCCATTCCTTCATTTTCGCTAAATTTGGGGATTTTTAGTCTTTGAATTCTTAAATGAGCTTACGTTTCACGGACTCTTTTGTGCCTATGTGATAACAGGAATTTTTGCCAATCAAGTAATTGAAACTTGGCAGTATTATTTATTTTCTTGGAGATGCTTATTCTGATTGAAAAATTTGGATTCTTCACTTGAAAGGAAAAACCATAGCCCCTTCACAGTGTTTCTGCTACTCTACTATGGTTTCTCTTAGTTTTAGTCTATATTAGGTATATGAATTTGTGCTATTGATGTCCACAGAGAAGGGTTGGAGTGACAACTGACTTCAATTCTGTATTTTAGGATTGTATTTATATAATTCATATGTATACATATTTCCTTTTAATATAAAAGGAGGAAGAAGCCAGACGACAATCTGGAGCTCAGCATGGCTCTTTTCCAGGTATGTTTAAAGCAAAATTGTATTGTAAATAATTGGTGTATTTTGTATTTAAAGTCTCATATTTATGTATTGCATGTCATTCCAATTGTCCCAGGAACAATGAATGAAGTTATTTAAATGTTAACCTCTTGGAAGTCTATTCTCAATAAAATTTCTGTTCGGGAAAATACGGTACTATGGAGCTCTGGTAGCGTAGTGGTTACGAATTGGGCAGCGAACCGCAAGGTCCGCAGTTCGAAACTACCAGCTGCTCCGCGGGAGAAAGATGAGGCGATCTGCTCCCGTAAAGATTTACAGCCTCGGAAACCCTGTTCAGGG